CCCCCCTGCATGGGCAGGGACACCTCCCAGCAGCCCAGGCTGCTCCAAGCCCCATCCAACCTGCCCTTCAACACCCCCAGGGATGGGGCAGCCACAGCTTCCCTGGGCAACCTGGGCCAGGGGCTCCCCACCCTCACAGCCCAGAATCCTGTCACCTGGGCTGCAGGGACAGTCTGATGGTGTCCCCAGCTGGATGCCACCATCTCTTCTTCCCCTCAAGGTTCCTGACATCCTGAGCATCATCCACAGCAAGCTGGAGGAGGTGGATGAGGAGCACGTCCGGAAGGCAGCCCAGCAGACTGTCTTCATCCTGGCCTCCCAGCACCAGAGCCTGGTGGTCTCCAGCCTGCTGGGCAGCCCCCTGCCCTTCGACAGGTCCTGCCCTGCCACGGTGGCCTGGCCACCTCTCCTGCTGCCTGGGCTGGGGAGCAGCTTTTGCCTGAGCTGCAGATAATCTTTCCTTGGCTGCTTTCCCACCCCCCTGTCATCAGACCCTGCTGGAATTTCCTTGGCACGTCCAAGGCTGCTGGAGACACCCCTGGGGGGCTGGGGGGGCTGCCCACGGGGACTGGCAGAGCTGGTCCAGGCAGCCAAGCATGGCTGGGGCTCTTGCTGCTGCTCTACAGACCAGGCCACGTTGGCACCAGCCCTGGGCTGAGCCTTGAGCAGATCATGGAGCCCCAGACTGGTTTGGGTTGGAGGAACCTTAAATATCACCCAGTCCCAGCCCCCCTGCACGGGCAGGGACACCCCCCAGCAGCCCAGGCTGCTCCCAGCCCCATCCAACCTGCCCTTTGAACACTTCCAGATGTTCTCCCCATAACAGCTGCTCCCTTCCCCCTGCTGGGGCCTGCAGGGCTGCAGACCCTCTGGCTGCTGGGGCAGCTGGGGGGTTTTGGGGTGCTGGGGTGGCTTTGGGGCTTGTCCAGGAGCGGGAGGTGGGTGGGGGTGACACAGCACAACCCCCACTGTCACCCCAGGGTGGTGGTCCCACCAGGGGCTTGGTGGCTTTGCCAGTGAAGCTCCAGGTGGCTCCTGGCTGGAGTCACCCCAGTGTCCCCCAGCACAGGGGACTGGGCAGCACTTGCCACCCTTCAAAGGGGGAGCGAACTGAGGCCAGGACCCCAAAATCCACCTTCTCCTCCCTTTTCTCCTCCAGCCACACCTGTGCCATGTGGAGGTCCCTGGCCAGCGAGCCCACCCTGACCTCCCAGGTCCTGGAGCAGCTCCTGGAGAAGCTGAACAGGGACGTGCCCTACAAGGAGAGCAGGGGGTTCCTGCTGGGCAGCAGCTCGGAGCGCGTGGCCACCGTCCTGCCCCTGCCAGTCCTGCAGCCCCTGCTGCTCTCCTGCCACCTTCATTTACTGCTGCTTCTCTCATTTCCCTGCCCCAGGGAGGGGGGGTCGTGCCAGGCGTGGCCTCTGGGGACCCCCCATCCCCGTGTCCCACCCAGCAGAGCCAACCCGGGCTCCTTAGTGCCCGAGCAAACAGCCCCTGGGGGGCTGCCCCGAAAAGAAGGGGTGAAAAATCCAGCAGAGAGGCCTTTGGAGCCCCCAGCCTGGCCTGGCAGCTCTGGGGGCTGCAGAGCAGCTGGGAAATCATCCTCTTCCTCCTCCTCCTCTTCCTCCTCTTCCTCCTCTTCCTCCTCCTCCTCCTCTTCCTCCTCTTCCTCCTCTTCGTCCTCTT